CTCTCTATATATATATATATATATATATATATATTTTTTAAATTTGTTGAAAAATTATGTAAATAAATAACGTTATACAAAATTTGATATTTTATTTATAACATAAAAATAATACAAATATAACATGTTCATCATGTATTTGGTGTAAATGTTGTATTCGACTATTCGTCTCTTATTATTTTGTCATAAAAAACTAAATATATGTTTTTAAGGGGAGACTTGGTTTGCAGGTATTTGTTAACAAAATTTGACTTTGATGAAATTTGACTGCATGTTTGGTTGGAATGGAATCTGGAATCTACCTGTATGGTTGGTAGAATGCAAGTTCGAAATTGAAATGAATAAACGGTTAATGACCAAAATACTCCTTTTGTAAGGGCGGTGGTTCAAAACGGTGATGATCAACAATAATTCATATCGGTGGTGGTTGGCGGTGGTTAGTTGCTTTCTTTATGTATACTTTCCCATTAGGACCTTCACCTTATGTTAGCCAGTTTCAACTCTATACCATACCGCAACAGTGGTTGCCGCTCCATCGAAATGGGTGTAATCTTGATATGTGTATGACATCTTTGATTAAAGAATGTTCTCCGCCTTTTCCTGCACCTATCGAGCTAGGTAATTGTTGGAATGTGCTTGATTGGAACGTAGCTAATCGTCCTTCCTTTCAGAGAATTGTTGGCTTTACCCCGACCTTTCTGCCTATAGTCTAAGGAACCTATTATAAGGTAGCAAGAGAGCTCTAAGAAGTGGGGGTGACCTCGTAGTTTTATAATGATTCTTTACTCCTATCCCATCATAAGAAGAAAGGGACATGAGTTTTGCTTAACGGCCTAAGGACTACCTGACCTGCTGACCTTCCTGCAATTCAATTCCCTAATGAAATCAACTACATGTGTAAGTGCACTAGTTGACTTATCTATTGTATAACACTTCTCACCAGACCTCATAGTCACAACTAAGCTGTCTATTGTGAGGATCTAGCCATTGCTTCATGTTCACCTTCCTTCATAAGAATAGGCTAGGATTACTACAGATATAACCTTACTATAGTAAATACCATCAACATGATGAACTATATTTGAAGGAAGGCATCTATGAAAGTCTTTACTGAATTCGATATGCGTAGATTCGATTCGGAGAAGAGATTCTTTCTTGTAAGAACATGRCAAGCTAAGTGAAGTCATTCAGAACTGGCAAGCATCCGGAAGCACTAGACCAATAAGCTAGATCGTCATACGAGGCATTTCACTTTTAGCCAGACTGCTCCGTTCGTGTTTCTCCTTGCGTCTTGCACTAGGACAAGGAAATCGCTACTAAAGCACTTTCTCTCATGAATTGAAAGAGGTTTATCTCATATAGGGTCAAAATGTTATGGCTTGCTTATACTCTTGCAAGCAAGGCGAGAAGCGATTCTCTTAGCCGGCATACTTGACGAATCAAAAAAGCTATAATAAGGCAATTCATGGGCATGGAACCTCGAAATAGACAATTTACAATCAAACTTTTAATCAGGTCGAAAAGTTCTCAGAACAGTGGTTCCGATCAATGGTGGTCAACAGTGGTTCAGATCAATGGTTCAGATCAGTGGTGGTTGACGATGGTTCAGATCAGTGGTGGTCGGTGGTGATTTATCGGTGGTGGTCGACGGTGGTTCAGAATGATGATTCATATCGGTGATGGTCGACGGTAGTTCAACATGGTGATTCATATTGGTGGTGGACAATGGTGGTTTAGGTGGCAGAGGTTCAGATCGATGGTGGTCAGGAGTGGTTCAGAATGGTGGTGGTCACCGGTGGTTCATGTGGAGGTCATACGAGTTTTAAGTAAATCAAGTAGGGAAGATGAAGATAATATTGTCTTTTTGAGAAAGTGTGATGGAATGGAATTGAATCCTTTTCATTTGTGATGGAATGACCAAATCCATGAGTGATAGAATGTGCAAACTTCAATTCCATTCCATAGGTAAATAAAACGCCTGAATGGAATTTGGTCAATAAATTGATCATTCTAATTACTTCAGATTTCGTCGAAATCTTGCGAACCAAATAACCCTTTATTATTTGAAATATACAAAATTTTATCATAAAATTTTAGTATATATTATATGTTTTCAAGTAAAGTGCAAACTTGGTCTTTATGGTTTGTCGGTTATAACATTTTTCGTTCTTACAATTTTTAAATTACAAGATGCCTATCGTGGTCTGCAAAAACGACCGAATTTAATCCCTCCATCTGATGACTGTTAACATCTAGTCGTAAAATGAAGGGTATATCAGTCCCTTTTTGTTTTTTTTTCCTCCTTTTCCCTTGAAAGTAAAAAAAAAAACATTTTATAAACTAATTCACCAGATGCATTCCACCTGTCTTAACTCTTTTCTTGAAAACCATAAGCCCCTTCACGTCGGTGAAACCTTCGGTCTTCATCTCCGATCATCTCTTAGACCTCAACGTCGGTGGCTGTGATCACGTCAACGTTTTATCCAATTTCATGCCATGGTTTCTTAAAACGAGAAATAAATATGCTAATTAGTAGAATAAAAACCCGTTTTATCATTGTTGTCATCTCTAAGGACCTATTTGCAAAAAATACAAAATATGGGGGGTGTATATGTCATTTTTGAAACTTAAACATAGAATATCTGAAATAATCAAACCTTAAGGGTGGTTTTTGTAACTTAACCCAAAAAAGTGTATAATTGGTGTCCACCTCTCTGGATTCTGGAAGCAAATCATCGGAATCAATGGAGGAAGAGAGAGAGACGTTGGTGATCATCAACAACCAGCCAAATCCAAAGTCAAAGTCAAACTACTRGATCATCGATGCTCTTGAATCAAAAAGCTTTTCATGGATCTTCATTGATCAATCTAATCCTTGGAAAACTGCTATTTCTGGGTTGATCTTCTTCATCTTCACCATCGCCGTTCCGATCCTTGCTCATATCGTCTATCAATGCTCAACGTGTGATCACAGCCACCGACGCCCCTTCGATTTGATCGTGCAGTTGTCACTGTCGATTTGCTCCACCGCTTCGTTCGTCAGTTTATCGTCGTTTGCTCGGAAATACGGTCTCCGGCGATTCCTGTTTCTTGATAAGTTGTCTGATGTTAGCGTTAAAGTCCGTGATGGATATTCCGAGCATCTTCATGTAAGTTCCAAACTATTTTGTTCTAGTTAATCACATTTGAGTTTGAATTACATGTGTAGGCAAAGGTAAATTTAGGCTTTGATTTGTTGATCTGAACTGTGGTTCAAAATTTCCGTGGTTTTTTTGGATAGCGTGATAAAGTTGATATTTGCTTTGTGGACAAAGGTAGGTATCGTTTCGTAGGGCTTACAATTACATGACGTGTTTTGCTATTCTGAATCCAGCGGGGAAGTCATTTTCAAATTTACCCCTTTCCTTCTTAAGCAAATTACTTTCCAAAACAGAATTCAAATTTTACAGCCTACAACTCAAGAAATGATATGTGTGATTGATTGCATGGAATTTGATCTTCAATTATCTTTCTATTTCAGCTTTCGAATTTAGTAATGGGTTAAATGAACTGTTAAAATGAACAATTTTCTTTGACTCATCAGATTCAAGCATCTATTTTTGTCGTCTTTTCCTTTATTTTCTAATTTGTCATAGTTGTAGTTTTATATATATGGACAAAAAAGTTATCACAAAGATAAATTGATAATTATAATTGTTTATTACATCTAGAGCTAAGAACTTTATAAATTGATATGAATTCTGAACTTGAAAATTTACTCCATAATCCCTGAAATTTTAGAATAATTCATGGACAAAATCTGCTTGTAGATTTTTTTTCGTTAGAACAAATTGAAATAGTAATAATCATAATAATAACAGTAATGATAATACTAGTCACAACAATAATAAGAACCCCACCTGTCAGTTGATCTGTTATGATGTCTTGTGAGATTTAGGTATATAAAGTAGAACTTCTTTTCTTAGAAAAAAGCTTGCCGATGAATCTTGGGTCCACAGAAGACAGGTTAGTCATTCACTGGTTTAATGAACTAGTGGATAGCAAAAAGAATCCATAAAAGAGGTCCCTTTCGTTTGTACCTTCCATTTTCAACCACTGAAATGGAGCTTAATAATTGCAAAAAAAACCAACATAAAAAAAACAACATTTATTTGGATATGGAAAGCACTGACCAAGACTGGGTGAACTTTGCTTCAACTGAGAATCTTGATAAGCTCTTTGGTCCAAATTTTCTCCATGAAATTTCATTTCATTTGCAGCTATATGGTTTTTAATTAAGCAGGACAACGTTATATGTTTTACCTTTAATGTGTTTTACTAATTATATCACATGGTCACAATGTGTTTGCATAAGGATGGGAAGAAGTAAATGCATGAGTCTCTTGGTGTCAAGACTAGCCTATTTGGTATCTTCGAATTTGTTTTTCATGTATGCGTAACAGGTTAACGTGCATATTTTGTTAAGTTTACAAGTCCTACATCTCTAAAACAGATCATACTTCACTACAGCTATTTCTAGGTGATCACACTCGTGCCCAATTGGTTTTGAAATAGGAGCCCATAAAGATTTTTTTCATTGTACTAGAGTCGGGTTGTTCATACTCATTCAACTTCTTGTGCCATAACCCATTCAATTTGTGCATTTGTTAGGCTAATGTGGTTTTTTGGGATAACTGTCCGCACTTCGGCTAATCCTATGGGGCCTTGAAGTTAATAGCCGGCCAACCCTTCAGTGGCCCTGAGGAAACTTGAATCCATGACCACTGGGGAGCCAACTTAAGGACTTACCAGTTAAGCTATTCAAAGTGTTTAGGCTAATATGGTTTACACGAGGGATGCAGTAGTCTAGTTTGATTATATTTAGATTAACATATAGGGACACCTAAGGAAGGCAATATATGGCATTGATTCCTTTTTCTAGTATGGCTTGAAATGTTGTATCATAATCATATACTCCAACCTTCTAAAATAAGTTTCCACATTTCTATTTTAGTTTGTCCAAGAATTGCCTACTTTCCAATTCTATCTTAATTATGAGATGGAGGAATTCATTTTACTCTCTATTATTAAGCATCAAATTGTCATTTAATTGATTAAAGATTGTAATAATTACACATTTTAAAAATGTGTCTTTTTCATTGTGGACATTTATATTGGGCTAGAGGGAGTATTTGTCTAGTGTTGGTCAAACTAACATTTTGACATGACTTATTATGCAGAGATCAATGAAGCTACTGTGTGCATTCATCGTTCCTTGTTTTCTTGCCGATAGTGCTTACAAGATATGGTGGTTCAGTTCCGGTGGAAACCAAATACCTTACATTTACAACATCTACTTAAGCCACACCTTGGCTTGCATTCTGCTTTTATCTTCTTGGTTGTATCGGACATCAGTCTTCTTTCTTGTTTGTGTTCTCTTCAAACTCACATGCTCTCTTCAAATTCTTCGGTTAGAGGATTTTGCTAAAGTGTTTGAGAAACAAGCAGATGTGGGGTCCATATTGTTGGAACACCTTAATGTCAGAAGGAAACTTCGTATCATAAGCCACAGATTTCGTTCATTTATTTTGTCGACTTTGATCCTGGTTACAGCAAGTCAATTTGCTTCTTTGCTTGTTACAACTGAGACCGGCTCACTTGTCAATATTTCAACTGCTGGAGAGCTTGCGGTAATCTAACATCTCTTCTCTAATATATGCATTTAGGCCATGTTTGACAACCATAAGCTGGTTTATTTTTTGAGCTTATTGAAAAAACCCCATTTAGTTAGCCATAAACTAGCTTATAAGCTACTCCCTTCGTCCCAAAATAAGAGTCAACTTTCAAAAGTAAATGCTAACTTTCCAATTCTACCCTTAGTTATGGGATAGAAAAATTCATTACTCCTTTTATTTATTAAGGGTAAAATTGTTATTTAATTAATTAAAAAGTGTAATGATTACATACTTCTAGAACTGTGTGCCTTTTTCATTGTGCATATTTATTTTGGGGCGGAGCGAGTAGCTTTTGAAAAAAGCTATTTCAAGTAGGGGTTCAATAAGTTCCAGGGGCTTGTTTCCATTTTTTTCCCAATTATGCTCCTTATGTAATTCCAATTAAGTTTTTAACATGTTCTTTTAGGTTATTTTTACATTATCATCTAGTTTTTTTCTTTTACCAAAAATTACTAATTTTTTTGATGTATGTATGACTAATACAACAAATAATCACACACACTCCTCGCGTTCGGTGAGGTTTGAACCCTTTGATCTTATGAAAGGCTTGGCTCTACCGGGTACCACCGGGGGCCGATGACCCTTTGGTAACTTGACTAATTTATCATCTAGCTTATTAGCCAACAACTAGCTTATCGACTAGTTCGCCTAACATAGCCTTAGTGTTCAATTTGTGATATAACTGAAATCAATTCCTTCAAATGTATGGTCTGGTTTTTGATTGTGTTGCAGCTGTGCTCCGTGACACTTGTGAGTGGTCTATTCATATGCCTACGCAGTGCTGCAAAGATTACACACAAAGCACAATCTGTTACAAGTTTGGCAGCTAAATGGCATACCTGTGCCACTGTCGACTCATTTGACAACGTGGGTCTTAGTGAAGAAACTCCAACGGCTAACACGTCAAACAGCGTTAATTACCATTTCAATGCCCATGTGGATTCAGATATGGACGAAGGAGAGGAAGACGACTTGGACAATACAAAGATGTTTCCAATTTATAGGGACACAATCTCATACCAGAAAAGACAAGCGTTAGGTGAGTTTTAGTTTTAGACAAGCCCCATCAAGAAAATCTGGGATATTTAATTGAAAATTACATTAAATGAGTTTTCAATTAAGAGCATGACCTTTTAACTTAATAACCTTTAAAATGACTTCCTTCTGGTGCAAAACACGGGTTATTTAGGAGAATAACCTTTGGAATTTTATTTAATGCATGACCTTTTGATAGGTTTTTTATTAAATGCATGACTTTCTGATAGATTTTTAGACATTCTTGTGTTGGGATGAAGCATTTGTCTATTAGGGGTCCGGGAGTTGAATGATCTAACATTTTCTAAAAAATCCATGACCTTCTGATAGATTTAAGAATGCCACTTTCATATACAAGAATGTCACTGAACTTGTAAGAAGGCTGTGTTGCTGAAGTTAATGAGCAAAATAGTCCCTTGTGTTATCGTTAAATCTGTTAGAAGGTCATGTATTTAAAAGAAATATGTCATAGGGTTATTGTCTGAAATAGCACCTTGTATCTGTAAAATCTTGATAAAACCATTAGAAGGTTGGCTTGTAAAAGTAACTTTAACTAAATGACCATCAAGAATCGTGATTCAAGTTGCGATTCTAGGTTTCAGAATTGTTTTTTATTTTTTACATTTTGGTTTCTTTCAGTGACGTATTTCGAGAACAACAGAGCTGGGATCACTTTGTTTGGGTTCATGCTGGACCGAACATCACTGCACACGATCTTTGCGATTGAAATGTCGCTCACACTTTGGTTGCTCAACAAAACAATCGGTTTCTCATGAACAATCAATCGATCTCTAGACTGCATACCAGGTTAGTTTTTTCAAGAAAATGCTCAAGGGGTTCAATATTGCTATTCTGTATGCTTCCAAACATGTAATATAGTCTTGATAGAGAGATCCATGCGTAGCATTCTGATTGGCCATTGTGTAGTTCTGCAAACCACCATAACGCCACGTCATACTTGCATTATCGCCACTTGGCATCCTACTATCGGTCAACTCATAAATCAAGTTCCCACTGTGTTCTCTGCTTGGCCATCTGGACTTCATTGCCACTTGGCATTGCATAACTGATCGTGTGATCTGAGGTGTCGAGATTTCTCTTGGCGCCACTTGGCATTGCGTAACTGGTCGTGTGATCTGAGGTGTCGAGATTTCTCTTAAACTATTGTGAGGCATATGTATCTAGTTGATTGTTGTATACTTGTTTTTTGCTTGTAGTTACTTGAATGGATGTAAACAAATTCAGCTATTAATTTATTTGGCTACCAACGTTTGGTTTGAGAGTAAATAAGTAATACAATAGTATTCGAAAATTCGTACCAATACATACCCCTAATAGAAAGTTCCTGAAACAACGATCTCCGTTCATCGATTTTTCATTCTCGATCAAATTCCAAGCTAACACATCACTAATATTCCAAAATTTGAGCCAAGAACTTCATAACAAGTCGCAGTTGATGGAGGGATCAATGGGGATATTCAGGTTCAGGTGACACAATGGGGCGATCTGAGCCGCGTTGGAGAGGTTCACTGGAAATGCTTGAACGGCGGACTTGAGACACCTACAAGTGGCCTTCAGAACGTCTTTCGAAGCATTAGCTGCTTGGACCAAATCTTGTGTGCTGGCACAACAATCCGGACTAGGCACCGGTGAATATCCAAACAAGAAAGACTCGCAGTTGATGAGCTTCGAGATTACAATCCGACAGTCTATTTGTGCGGTTGCACGTTGTTTGGACAACAAGAGTACCGAGACCAACATCAAAATAATCGGAATCGCGTTTCGAACCATTTTTTCGGATGTAATTTTTTTTTATGGATGTGTCGTTGATCGGTGAAGAAGGGTATTTATAGAGGAAGGAATTAAATTTTTTATTTAATGTAAAAAAGTTATTTTTGATCAACGATTTGAATTTTTTCGGGTTTTTTGGTATTGATTAAAATATTTATGATAAATAACAAATTTTGAAATATTTGCTTATTTTAAAAATGGCTAAAATACGTTATAATATTATTTTTTATATGCGTGATATTGAAAATTAAATGGCTAAAATACGTTACTGAAAATACTTGCTTAATATAAAATTCTTTTTAATTCATTTGAAAATTAAAGACTCACGTATAAAATTATGCTATATATTTCTTTTACAATA